TCTCAAAAAGAGAAAAAAAGAAGAAAAAGGAAGAAAGAAAAGATAGAAAAGAGCCTCGCGCTACCACAGGTCTCTATGTGATGTGACCCTGTGTCACGTACCCATGAGGCCAGCCAAGTGGTCCATCATGCCTGCAAGCCACATAGTTGTACCCAGAAGCAATGGCAGTATGGGGACCAGCTCTGGATTGTCGAAAATAATTTAAAATCCAAGTTTAGATCACCTGCCTTCCAAAACCGTATTAGTTGCTTTTGTCTTTAAAAGTTAGGTTTCTGTGTAATTAGACAGTAAATTTATACTGCCTGCAACTAAGAACTCTGACAATGATATGTGAAAAGGGCAAGTTGAAATGGAATGAGGTAAGACAAGAAGAAAAACATCTGGAAGAATACATAACAAGCCTTCTCAGGAGCACGTCCCTATAGAGTAAAAAGTTACTATCGAGTTCCATTCTGGAGAACTGTTCATAAATTGGATTCATTCGTAAGCTGACAAAGTGAGTCTTATAAAGTATGTCTGTGAAAATTTGCAACTTAGAAGTTCATAAATTGAGTTCTTACAAATCTTACTGTATTTCCAAGTTACCCAGGAAGTGGAGGGGGGAGGCTTGCAAGTTTCAGGCCAGCCTGGACAAACAAGACTTCATCTCAAAAAACCAAACACCATCACCAACAACAAATACATACCAAGTGTTTAAATTTAGTAGCAAAGAGAGTTCTCTGACACAATTTCTTTTTCCTCTTCCATCCTAACAAAAAATTTTCATTGGGCACATGCTTACTCAGATAAAAACTCTTCTTTCTAGCCAGATGAGGTGACACACACCTGTAATCCCAGCACTCTGGAAAGATGAGCAAGGTGACTGTGAGAGCCCTGCCTGAGCAACGTAGTGACTTAGCAAGACATTGCCTCAAAATTAAAATGAAAAAGGCTTGGGATGTAGCTTAATGCAAAGACTTAGAATTCTAGTTTCACTTCAGAATAACTGGTTATATTCTTGAACAAATCACTGAGTTTCTTAGTATCTCAATTTTTATCATTTTTAACTGAATTTTATTTTTATTTTTATTTATTTATTTATTTATTTATTTATTTATTTATTTATTTATTTTGTGGAACCAGGGATTGAACTCAGGCCCTTGAACTTGCCAGGCAAGTGCTTACTCTACTGAGATATCTCCCCACACCCCCATTTTTGAAATGAAAAAAAAAAATTCAATTTTTCCCTTCAAGTAGCATTGATGCATATTCCATGCAGAGTCTGACAAAATTTAGGCCAAGTTCCTTAAGTTATTCCATGAAAAATAAATCCAATGACTAAGTGAGTTGAAACAAAGATGATTTTTAATTATATCCCTCCCCTGGTCTTGAGGAGCCTCGGTACACATTAGGAAATTAAACCTCTGAGAATTCCCACAGGAAAGAAACTTGTTTCTCTTTGTTTACCCAATCAGTTTAAATGAGGACCAAAGATTTCAGATTTGAGCATGTGGGCTTTCAAGAACACGATGCTTTGGTGGTTTGCCAGAATACCTGGGTTGAAAACTGGTTCCACAACTTGTTTGCTGTCTGCTCTTGGGGCAATTCTTTCACTTTTATATGCTTCAGCTTTCTCATAGTAAAAATGTACTAATATTCCTGTCCTGTGTGAAGTTATCATAAAAATAAGTTCAAACACTTTGGCTGTATTTTAATTGTTCACTGATAATGTAAGCATAAAAAATCTTGTAGATTTGTTTTACAAAATTCCCCACCCTGTACCTCATTTCTGACCAAAGAAAAAAGAGCGACTGAGATTTGGGTTATTTAAGGCAGAGGACCAAGCAATCTGTGCATATAAAAAAGAGGGAGGCAGAGGCTGGGAAAGCAACAATCCCCCCCACCTTTTTTAAAAATTTCATTTGTGTGTGTGTGTGGCCAGCTCAGCCCATCAGGGGGTGGGGCTGGCTGGCATGTGGTGCTGGGGGATTGAACCATGGTCCCGCTGCTTTAGCTAAGCTTGTTCTAAGTAGGTGCTTTAGACCACTGAGCCATCTCACCAGCCCCAACAATCCCCTTTGTAACTGTTAAAATGAGAAGCCATTTCACTCTGAAGTCAGCCCCTGGCACCTCCTTGCCAGGCTTCTCAGCAGTCCTCAGCAGTCCTTACCTCGCTCCCCCGGTATTCTTGGGTGGTAGAATATACATACAATGCACGGTCTTAAACATTTCTGAGTACACAGTTCAGGGGCATGAAGTACCCTGTTTTATAGTCGTTATCACCATCCATGTCCAGACCTCTTTTCATCTTATAAAAATAAAAACTCTGTGCCCATTAAGCATAACCCCCAGCCCTGGGTAACTGCTGTTTCACCTTTTGCCACTGCAAAATGGACTGCTGCGGAGTGCCATGTGCAAACAGAACCACACAGTGTCCTTTCTGATTGGCTCGTTTCACTTTGTGTAATGTCCTTGGGTTTCCTACACGTTGTAGCTTATGTCAGAATTTCCTTCCGTGTGTGTGGGTGTGTGTATGTGTGCTCACACACGCAGAGGACTGAACGCAGGGCCTTGTACGAGGTAAACACACACTCACTACCGAGGCGTACCTCATGTCTTTTCTTTCTTTTTCTTTTCTCTCTCTCTCTCTCTTTTTTTTTTTTTTGGTTGTTTTTGGAGACAGGGTCTCACTGTGTAGTCCAGGCTGGCCTTGAAATCATTATGTAGTTCTGGCTGTCCTCCAACTCACAAGGATCCTCTTGCCTCGGCCTCCTAAATGCTGGGATTATAGGAGTGTTCCACCATGACCAGCCTCCTTGCTTCATGAGGCTGATTAACATGCCACTGTGTAACACTGTAAAAAGTTCCCGTTGCTTTTTGCTTCTGTAGGATCCACAGCCCGGCAGCTGTCCTTAACAACCAATAAATTTGGGGCAAGAGCTATCTTTCTCCCTTGCCTATTTTTGTTAACTGACTCCTGGAGAAGCGCTTACATTATGCATCTGGGAACAGACCTCATTAGCCCAAATTTTTTCCTTACATAATTTCAATGTGTCTGAAAATTCATCTCTTAAAGAAGTGACAAGACAAAGAAAGATGAGGGAGTCGACAGAAATAAGTTTTCAGATGAGTACATCATTCTCCAGCTAGACTGTAAATTAAAGTGGAGACAATTAAAAATCACAGGCCACCTGAAGTATCAAAACAAAACACTGAGACCTTGTGGGTGACCTCAGCCTGGCTCCCTTGCAAGCATATGCAAAACATAACTTGACAACTTCCTGTATTCGCAATACATAAAAACAGAACTTGACTTCAGCCAAGCACAAGTAGCCACAAACTTATATAACTATGGATTTTCCTACGAAATTGATCAAGGGGCTGTACAGCCAAACCAACCAACTCTGTTCTTTGCTTCACTTTCATGTTCACTGAAACCCTCTGCCTTACGCCTCTGCACTGGAACCCTGGGACCCTTTCTGGTTCAGAATCGCTGAGTCATAAATTTTGTTTGCTTGGGGGTTTTATTTTTATTTATTTATTGTGTGTGTGTGTGTGTGTGTGTGTGTGTGTGTATGTGTGTGTGTGTGTGGCCAGCTCAGCCCACCAGGGGGTGGGGCTGGCTGGCACGTGGTGCTGGGGGATCGAACCGCAGTCCCTGTGCTTTGCCAAGCTTGTTCCAAGTAGGTGCTTTAGACCACTAAGCCATCTCTCCAGCCCCCTGGGGTTTTATTTTTTGAGACAGTGTCTGGCTTCATAGTTTAGGCCGGCCTTGAACTCAGGGTGCAGCTGGGACTGTGTCTGAAGCAGGTGAGCTGGAGACTGTTCACGTGTGCGGAGTGGAGGGCACGGGCACCAGAGGAACGCCTTGAGGGTACAGAGCACTCCTGGGAGCAGGTGCTCCAGACCCCAAAAACACTGGGGTCGACAGCCAAGCTAGTTAAGCAAAGGGGTGTCACGTGAAACCAACCTGCCAGAGGTATAAATGAAAACTTACTGCAGGGGTTGAGCTGCTCCTTTTCTCTCTCCCAGAGACAGGCTCCGCCTGAACTCCACTTTCTGTATGTTGTCTCTTACCTTTATTTCTTTATTCTCCCATGGTCCTGGCCCTGGGAACTTGGAGTGCCGCACAGGATGTGGCAAGGCTAGCCTTGAACTCCCAGGGGTCCCCCTGCCTCAACATCCTGAGTGCTGGGATTATAGGCATGCACCTCCATACCCAGCTCTAATTCATGAATTTTGTTTGCTCAAATAAACTCTTTAAAGATTTTTTTGTGCTTCAGTTTCCTTTTTTATTTTACATCCCCAGCCCTTTTTACCTGTTTTAGTAAATTTTCCAGATTTGGCTCAAATTTGTAATTCTCCTGCCTCAGTGTCCCAGAGTGCTGGGATAATAGGTGTGCACCACCACACCCAATTTGTTTATTTTTTATTTATTTTTATTTATTTATTTTTCGGAACCAGGGATTGAACTCAGGCCCTTGTGCTTGCCAGGGAGGCACTTATTCCACTGAGCCATCTCCCCTGCCCCTTGTTTATTAAAAAGCAGGGCCACAGAGCTGACCTAAAGAATTAAAGTTCACACCATGAGAAAATGAACTTAGGAAACTGGACTATTTTTAGTGTTCCTTTCTTATACTTTCAGTGGAAACTGAAAAGGCATGTGAGGGACAGGGTAGGGGGCAACTAGCAAAGGGCAGGACCACAGGGCAACAGGAATGGGAAGCATGTACATTCTGAAACTGGATTACAAGTCATTTCATTGAGTTAACTGTGTCACGTGACAACCAGGGTACCCCAGCACATGGTGTACACTGAGTGGCAGTTACTTGGTGAGAAGAGGCCTCATCTCTGCCCCTCAATAGCACGAACTGAGGAAGCCCCAGTCTCCCAGAAGGCAGAGCTGCAGTGCCTGTGACTGCAGCACTCAGGGAGCCCATGGGGCTGGCCTGGAGGGAGGTCACCTGGAGGGAGGTCACCCGTAGCTGGCCCCTCCAGCCTAGCCGGACAGTTGGCCTTTAGCCCCTACTTCTCACAGTCCCCACCAGCTTCCTTCCTCAGGCAGTGCTTTGTGGGGAGCTGAGTCACAGTGACAGCAGCATCAGTCACCTCTTCCTGGGCAGAGGTGGTGGGAATCCACCTCAACATGAAGTGGGTGCTGGGTCACAAAACCCAAATGCTGGCTGTTGGAGCTTCTCCTGTCTCTCATCTCCCCACGCCCTTGTGGACCTTAAGGTCTGTCCTTGACCCTTTGATCTTCCATTTCTTTTTGTTCCTTTCTTTTCTTTTTCTTTCTTTTTTTTAAGATAAGGTCTTGCTATGTATTTCAGGCTGACTTTGATCTCTCAGCACTCCTCCTGCCTCGGCCTCCCAAGGGCTGAGATGATGAGGGTGCACCACCACACCTGGCTGTATAGCTTCTATATTGTACTGTAGTTTTATATTATACTTAATTGCTGCTTTTTATGTTCTATTCTAAAGTCTTCTTTCAAAACCTTTTTGTTGTTAAAAATAAAGATTTTTTTTTTTTTTTTTTTTTTTTTATTTTAGGAAATGCTGCTTTAAAAGCTGAATCTTGTTTTTTTTTTCTTTTTTTAAAATTTTTTTCCCATAATTTTATTGATAAACAAATAGCAATGAGACAGTTTCAGATCAAATTGGTAGAACAGTTTCAGTAATTAACACATTGCATACATTCTTCCTAGTGGTTAATTGCTGTACAAGATGCATGATATCCTATTTACAAACACCATTAGAACAAATCCCTCTATTCATTAAGAAAATGTAACTATATATCTATCCTAACCACTTTGAATACACAGATACAAAATGGACATTCATCTGTATCCCCTTTTTTGTTAAGTTCCGTTATTTGAATATTATAGGTGTGTAAACTCAGCAAAATATTCTAAAAGAGTCCAGTAGCCCATAATAGTATTGGGTCTTCCGCTTGACTGGCAATGTCAGAAATTGTTGACCTGAGTCCCCTACACCTCAACATAACAGCATGGCTTTACTTCTTATATTTCATTTTTATACTTTTCTGCTGGATGGTTAAGACCAAGGTAAAGCAGGACCTATGCAACAAGAGTGAATCTTGTTTTATTATCATGTAAAATGCTTACATGGTCCCAAAATCACTCTGAAAAAGGAAAAGCAAAAGCAAAAGCAAAAAAAAAAAATCAGAGAAGTTTATTTTCTAGCCCTGTCCCTTTCACCTAATGTCTTCTCTCCCTGACAGTAATTAAATTTAATTATATATTGATTATATATTGTCATATAAGAAAGCACATATCTCCCTTTTCAGGCAAACAGCATACTGTTTATAAATCTTATGTTTTTCTTTCTTCCTTAAAGTATTCTTGGGCTGGAGATGTACTTGGCACAGTGTTTCCCTAGCAGGGCCCAGGTTTGATTCTCAGCACTGAAAAAAAGTATTTCTTGTCAATCATTTCCTGGTAGCATATAAAAGTATTCCTCATTGTTAATAAATTGCCCAGGCTGGGCTTGGACTCAAGATCCTTCCCCTTCAGCCTCTCAGAGTGCTGGCCTCACAGGCCTGTGCTAACACACCGGGCTCCTTCATTGCTTTTTTAGCTGCAAAATCCTCCACTGTGTGGAGCACGATAGCCTCTTATTAACCAAGAAATGGGTCATTTCCAGTCTGTAACTGTTAAAAAGTAATGCACCATTAAATAGCTGGAGTATACTTCTTTTTGCCAGGGTGCTTGCAGACAGTTCCCAGAAATGGAATTGCTCAATCAAAAGGCATCTCTAATTATGGGAGCCAAGTATCACCAAGTTCCCCTCCACCGTGAGATTGTACCAATTTCTATTTCTATACTCAACGTATTGGACTACTTGTTTTCTAGTAGACTGGTCAACAAAGAATTTTTTTTTTTTTTAAGTTACTGGTTTGCACTACTCTCATAAGATATAGTATGTTTTAATTTGTACTTTTAAAGTTCTGAGACATGCTGAACACTTTTTAATGTTGTTATAGTAATTTGTTTCTCTGTGAAATGTCTATATCTCTAGCCCAATTTTCTCTAGAGTTGTTAGTCTCTTTCTTCTCTATCTGTCTGTCTCTATCTTTCTTTTGAGAGAGTCTCACTTTATCAATAAATAAACAAATGAATTGAGCAGGCATTTCTCAAAAGAAACCTGGGCCCTGCTAGGGAAACACTGTGCCAAGTACATCTCCAGCCCAAGAATACTTTAAGGAAGAAAGGAAAATGTAAGATATATAAACAGTATGCTGTTTGCCTGAAAAGGGAGATATGTTTCTTTATACGGCAATATATAATTAAATTTAATTTTTGTCAGGGAGAGAAGACATTAGGTGAAAGGGACTGGGCTAGAAAATATACTTCTCTGATTTTTTTCAGTCATTAGGAAAATGTAAATCAAAATTACAGTGAGTTTCCATCTCACCCCAGTCAGGATGGCTACACAAAAACCACTTCTGGTGAGAATGAAAATGTAAATTACTATGACCATGAGGGAAATCAGAAGGGAGCTTCCTTAAAAAACCAAAAATAGAGCTATTCTTTGTTCTCTCTACAGCATTCTTTGGTATTTACCCAAAGGAGTTAAAGTTGGCATACTGAAGCTTATTGTGGCCCAGTTCACAAAATAGCCATGATATAGAGGCAGCCTAGGTGCTCATCAACACATGAATGGATAAAGAAAATGTAGTATTATACAAAGTGCATTTTTCAGCTGTAAGGAAGAACAAAGAGGAAGGAACTGAAGATTATGTTAAGCAAAGTAAGCCAGACTCAGAAAGATAAGTAGTGGATGTTCGGCCTAAAATTTTATTTATTTATTTATTTATTTATTTAATTTATTTATTTATTTTTGTGGTACCAGGGATTGAACTCAGGACCCTGTGCTTGCCAGGCAAGCACTTATTCTATTGAGCTATCTCTCTGGCTGAGCTATCTCCCAGGCCCTCGGCCTAACACAATATGTGCAATCTAAAAAAGATGACATAAAACTAGGATGGAATATGCATGGAAACCCATTATTCTATAAAATTAATAAGCACTAATAATAAAGTAAAATGTAAAAATGACAAATGTTTCACCTCATTTAAGTACTATATATGATATTCAAGGTGTGATTAAAATATATGATGAATGGTAAATATTTTTAAATTGTTACAGTAGAAGAAACATTACTGTCAATCCCTTTCATACTTACCTGGCCGGGGAGATACCATGATCACCATTAGTCCCTTTCAAAATACCTCCCCTCCCTTGGAGCACACGGACCCCATCCTTCTTGCCACTTTCTGAAGTAGTTCTGGGAGTCCTCTTTCCTAAGTGTCTTTAGTTGTGTTGTCATGGCTGAATCAATTCGAAATGTTTCTCTTTCATAACCATTTGACTTTGAGGGAAGAGCCAGAAGTTGCATGGTGCCAGAGCTGGTGAATAAGGGGGATGAGGACACACAGTTGTGCTTCTATGTGACAGAAATTAAGCAATTCAAGGCATTGAAGCAGCAAGGAAAAAAAACATTACGACAGAGGACTTTCAGAACTGCTTCTAAAAATGGAAAGAATGTTGGGATGAGTGTATTATATGAGAGGGGGAGTATTTTGAGTTAAGGGCTTTGTGTCTTTCACTGAAATAATTTTTTAAAATGGAAACATTCACCATATATTTTGATTACATCTCATATACATGTACCAAAACACCACATGGCCCATCATTAATATGTACAACTTTTACATTTTTGTGGAGATTAAAAATGAATTTAACTTAAATCAATTTTAAAAGTAAGAGGGAGGGCTGGGGAAGTAGCTTGGCAGTCTAAGCACCTGCCTAGCAAGCACAAGGTCCCGAGTTTGATCTGCGGTACTGCATGCCATGCTAGCCCTGAGACCAGGTGTGGTGGTGCACGACTGTAATCCCAGTGCTGGGGAGGCTGAGACAGGAGGCTCGCTACGAGTGCGAACTGCGTAGCAAGACGCTGTATCAAAAAAAGAAAAAGAAAAAAAGGGGGAGATTATAATTAGACAAGAGGAAGGGACTAGAAGGACAGGGGTATTATTGAGGGTAGTGGAGTATGAATGTCACCAAAATATACACATTGAAATCCAAAAGTTATAGCATTAATAAACGCTAAAAAAAAAAAAAAAAAGCAATGAAAAAATAGTATTCTTTTGTGGCACGAGGGCTGGAGGGAGATGTAACAACAGTCTCCACTAGAGGGAGCCTTAGTCTCAGCAAAGGAAATGAGCTTCGTTATTTCAAATTTAGTTTTATATCCGCAGCCATGCATCTCTTCCAGACTTACTAAGTACAGAATGGTGAGTTCAGATCCAATAAGGAAATCTACAAAATCCAGGGTAGGAATAGTTCATATTTGGGCCAGTAGCTTGTGGGAAGAGCTCCTGTAACCCCCCAGAAAGAGACAAAAAACAGGTTCTCACCCCAACACTGACCACTGCCCCCGCGCCCTGGTAATGAGCAGGCGTCCCAGAGCTACTGGGCAGAGACCTGGACGGCTGATGGCTCCGTGCAGGCAGTGACCTCGCGGGTCAGACTGGGTAGAGACGTCTGAGTCCTTACTAACCTATCATCATCACTCTGATTTTAAAATTTTGCCATGAGAAGAAAAACACATTAAAAACTGAGTTTGAGGCCAAACTTACACGTTGGAAAGCACTAACTATGATAGTTTAGCTACAATTTTGTATTAACAACATTTTTATTTTAATTGTTATTGTGTTAACAATATAAAATTTTGAGGAATTTACAAACTTTTGTTAGGTAAGTTACCGAAATATTTTTAATATCTGGGAAGTTCTATGGGATGAAAACAAACACCTTGGGACACTAATCAATCTAGCAGGGCTCTGAGGCCTGACAGAGAACTAGGCTGGGCGGCAAAACCTCTGCAGAAGGAAACTTGGAAACATCTATCACTACACCCTTAACTTCACAATTCCCTTCCCTTCCCTTCCCTT